TTTAATTTTTTTTTTTTTTTTTTTTTTTTAAGATAATTTATTTATATTGGTAGGTAAGAAAAGTTATTGGCCTGTGGCTGATCAGATTTTAAAAACTTATCAACATAAGAATTTTCTACCAAAATTATCCATAGCACAGTGCTAAATTATGTTAGATAAATCTTACGAATAAATGTTATTATATTTATAGATTTTTTTCTTTTAAATTTTGTCCTTACAGTTCACATTTAGCCTGATTGTATGGACTTTATGCAATTATGCGGATGCTTTTTAAAAGGGAAATTTGAATGTATATGCGGGCCCTTGTATATGCGCCCTTGTATATGCTCCCTAATTTGGGAAATTATATACAAGGCTTTTAAAACCGGACCGGTCAATGAACCGGAAGAAGGAGGGGTTAGTGTTTGATGGTTCGACTGGGGTCGAACCGGATGACGTAATAAATATTTATTATATTTAAATATTATAATAATGACACAATTATTTATAAATATATAACAAAAATTGAAAAAAATTATAATACTTTTACTTATATAATAGTGAAATGTTAGCCAAATAAATTCAAATATTTAAATCTAAATGAAAATCATATAGGATCAATTAGAGTTTTAAAAATAAATACAATTAAATCTACTAATTTAGTAATTTTTTTACTAATTTAATATTTTTAACTTTAACATTATACATTAGACGTATCTCTAACTTATATTTTTAGTAATATAACTAATTAATTAGAATTATTAACTTAGAAAAAAAAAAAAGACTAAGCCTGAAAAAAAAAATAAATGCCATGTCCCGCCGCCTATGTAAAGCCTTCTCGCCTAAGAAAAAAAAAAGCTTTTTGTCCCACACCGTGAAAGACCAAAATATTTTGCTTTATATAATAAGACCTTTGGAAAAGGTTAGAAACTGTGTTGTTTGCTCTGGCCGGCTTGCTCTGGCCGGCAGTTGTGCCTATAAGGCTAGTAATAACTATTTTATTAAATAATAATAAAACTATTTTGATTTAATAGATAATTAATCACTCATAAGTCATAAATATACTTAATTAATAATTATTAATAAAGTCAGGGGGGGCACGTGCCCCCATGCTGCATGGCCCTACCTCCGGCAAAGATACTGCACAGTCGTCGTCGACGCGAAAATGGTTATGAGAAATCGGAGCCGGTTGAACCGGCGGTTCGAACGGTCCGAGACCGGTTCGACGCAGAAACGGTTCTCAGGCGAACCTTAACCGGCCGGGCAGCCGGTTCGCGGTTGAACCGGCCGGTCCGGTTTTAAAAGCTTTGACGAAAACTCACATCAACAGGAGAAATTATTCTGTGCGGAGTCCAAATGAGAAGAAACATTCGGACATGTTAGTGGTGTATTAAATTTTTGTACACTGTGCACATTCACAGTCCTGATGACTCTTTCCATTCGGACTCTGCACAGAATAATCTCTCCATCAACTGACCAGCGTGAGTTGCATTATAACAATGATTTAGAAAGCAATATAAAAAAGTTGCATCAAACAAGACTCTCAGACCCCAATAGGTTGTAAAGAGACCTAGTAACATGCAAGTAAAAACCAAGGCTATGAAAGAGAAAATACATGAATATATACAAAAATACTATATTAGTTGACGAAAAAAATACATCTAGTACACAACTGATCTTATTACAAAAATCAAAATGAATATGAAAGCAGAGAAATATTGTTTTAAATAACCAATCAGCTATAAAATCCTACTGATGAGTTGGGAGCAGAAATGTGCTTTCTTACTGAAACTATGGCTTCATTTGGAATGGCTTTCTTATTGCTTCTTACAGTAATTTTTTAATACAAAAATTAAAATTTTGATACTAGAATGTTGCTTTAAGAAACCGTCCCAAAAGAAGCCTATGAACGGCTTTCTTACTGCTTCATAAAGCAACTTTCTAGTACAAAAATTTAAATTTTTGTGCTAGAAAAAGATGTTACGAAGTAGAAAGAAAATTGTCCCAAACGAAGCCTATATCTTTGTCCGTATTGCTGTGAAATCTGAAAAGTATCCTCCACTGTCAAACAGCAAGCTTCATAGCAGTGTCAAAATTATCTAAATCTGTTGTGTGCCCTTCTACAACTTTGGTTGGAGCCCTAGCTTTCAACAACATTTCTTGGTATTCATTTTCTGGTTTAGACAAAGCAACAATTGCCCCACCAGCTCCAATAGAGGCCTCCCCATTGTGTATAACAATGGTCCTGATTACTATATTCAGATCAAATGTTTGGTTATATGAAATGAATCCTATTGAGCCTGAATAGATGCTTCTGGATGAACTTTCAATAGAATCGAGAATTTCCATTGATCTTAACTTTGGAGCTCCAGTCATCGAACCTCCAGGAAATGCAGCTTTAATGCATTCAATAGGGCTTGTGTTTGAATTCTTCTTCCCTTGAACTGTACTAACCAATGTGTGGACGGTTGCATAAGACTCAACTTGCATCAACCGAGGCACACAGACGCTACCTGGTTCGCAAACCCGGCCGAGATCATTCCTCAAAAGATCAACTATCATAAGATTTTCTGCTTGGTCCTTTTCACTAAAAACAGAAATGAAAAAAAAAAGTTTGAGTAACAGGTGAGGTACAAGAAATTGTCTAAAAAAGGTGGTAGCAATTTTTTAAGGTGATGGAAGGCATTTGTTATTTAATGCTTTAGTTTGTGAATGAGAAACTATTATAGCACTGTAAGATTAAAAAGTTCAAACAGAAAATGGAAGAGAAACAGCTCTGAAAACAGGAATTGGGGGCTTAGAAATGATATGAAATTATATTTTTTTTTTTACGATGCAGGCATGCAGCATTGAATAAGAACCGCATTTCCTCAAGATATAACACAGCTTGAATATCTAATCTGCAGGACAAAGCTAGCTAGTTTTAAAGATGAAAATATATTAATCTGAAAACAAGTTCATCAATCTTTTATGCTGCCGGCCTAGGAGGGGTTGGCTAGACCGGTTCAGTGCTATAGCCGTCGGCCCAAGCATGGGGCGGAACCAAGGAGGGGGGCGGAAGCCCTAGTGGGGCCCTCTACTTAATTAAATTGTGTTTAGGAGGGAAATTTTGAATTAGGGTCTGTTTAGGGATTTTGTAAGCTTCCTTTGGCTTTAATTAGTCCTTTGGAGGCTAGGGTTGAGGGCATCTTGAGATTTGCTGAATTTTGAGATCTAGGGTTTGTTTTGTGTGGGCTCTAGGCTTTGCTAGAGATTTAGAGAGTTGTTTCTTCCTCTCAAATTGAAGAAACTTGTATCTTGCTTTGTTTTTCTTATTCGTGGATTGAATTAAAGTATTTCTTTTGTGTTTCCTCTCCAATCTACTAAATTTCCTGCATGATCTTTGCTGATTTCTCTCTGAAATCAGCCTTTTTTTCTCGCTGTTTTTGTCAATCCTTGCTAGGTTTGCTTGCGAACTCAAATATTACCCTTAGGGCTATTTGCGAACTCAAGTACTTCCTATCACAATCCCCCTATCCTAAGAACTTATCATGAGATGACACTATTATACCGGAAAGAAGATTTCAGTTAATAAAAGTCGAAAAATAAATTTCTACCCATAAGAATCAGCTCTTTTTTATTCCAAGAAAAATCTGACGTGCTAGCAGGTCAGCAGGTAGGGGAGAACTGGAAGAGGGATAGGTGCAATTCAGCATCACAAAGAACCTAACAGTGCAGATTGGTAAAGGAAAACTATTCATTAGTATGCTCACCTGTACTCCAGTTGTAACCTAAGACATTCATCTTCCTCTGATGTACTCCCACGAGCAATAGTTCCCTTGATAGGCTTTGCTTCAAGTATTCCAGATTCATGCAGCCTCAGAAACCTCTCAGGAGAGGAGCAACAAATGCATAAATTTTCCCTTGAAAAATTAAGCCAAGCAGCATATGGGGCAGGATTTGCCTCTCTCAAATCAAGATAAATATTCAGAGCATTTATGGTGGCAACTCTCATTCTCATCTGAGTTGTGAGGCATAACTCATAACTATCTCCTTCTCTAATAAATCCCAAACACTTCTCAACATCTTTGATATACTGATGCTTTGATTTATCAACAACAAAGGTTCCTCTGCATTGGGCAGATCCTCCTTGCGTTTTCTGCATTTTCAACTTTCTAGAAGCTATGCCTTTCAAGCTAAGAAGCTTCTTTTCAGTTTCACTAAACCACGAGTTCTCTTTGCAACTTTGTCGTACAAAGTTAGAACCAGAATGAAATTTGTCATGTATTTGCAGGATATAAACATCCCCATTGCTATGATCAACAGCTAAAATATTATCCGCAAAGAAGAAACAGGCATCAGGAGCACTCGACTTGAATCTGTTAGATGATGCCCCACATTCAATTTTGAGATCATACCTGCTTGATTTAAGTTAGATTAGTAGCTTCGTGCAAAGTTTTATAACAAGGAGCATAATATAAAACTGAAATTAAAGTCTTTCAACAATAGTATATGTAAAAAAAAGGACCAAAACCGCCATACTACTAGAAATTATCAAACTATACGGTCCAACAGCTAACATGAGTGGCAAATTCGGATATTTAAGTTTTTTCCACAGAAATGCCGCCTACCAAATTAAATCTACACATGCTAAAGGCAAATCTGACCATAACAACGCAAAAAGGAATAAACGAGATATTCTTTCATGGCACTTAAAACAAGAGATCAAGACAGCATGCAACACAGAATTTAAAAACATACCCAATGTAACCAATAAACCCACCGCAAAAGTCAAACGGCAAGCCTTCGAAGTCCTCTTTATCATAATGAAATGTCCGAAGTTCCTGGGCGAGGAAAAAAAAGGAGAAAAATCAACATCAAAGCATTCTTTTTAGGAGAGCATTATTTGCAGAGGGTAAGCTAATGTTTAGAGAGTTTCATCGAAGGAAAAAAAAACAGAACTTAGTGGCTGGAAATACAGAAATTTGACGACAGTCTAAAATTATAATAAATTGTTTATATTTTAAGAAAGGCAAATCATCATACGCTACAAACTCTGGCAATCAAGAATCAATAATAATATCATAAACTGATCCTTTTACAAAAATCAAGTCAATGTTCTGGATCTAAATATAAATCAGATGTCAAATATTAAACTTCACCTTATCAAGAAAATCAAATAGACCATCTTCAAGAAACTTTGTTTTCACAGAACCATGGACATCTTGAATTGATAAATATCCTCCAGATTTGCTTGTCATTTCACTAAAATATAAAAAACAAGAATTGATGTAAAAATTCTCAAAGCATTTATTATGAAAGATGGGCTGCTTTAAGACATATTTGGATGAACCCATTATATTTTCTATACGAACCTTCGCTGTGATATTTTATATGTTATTTGCTTCCACAATGAACCGCCTTTACCACCCATAAATGAAAAACGTGACCGGCCCTGAAATAGAAGTCATGCCAACTTAAAAGTAAGCAAGAAATTTTCAATAAGAAAGCAGATGGTTTTGAATAACTCCTAAGCTACATATGGACAATATGGGCAATATAGCGGCACGTGCAAAAGATAACTTTTTACATTCACCAGAAATTGCATAAAGAGTTATTATTCTCTTCATTATAAATCAAGAAAATGTTGAACTCTATTTCAGAAGTTTTCAAACTACATGAAGAATTAAGAAAGTTCAATCCTCCTGTTAAGCTGAGTGACGCTAAATAGAACAAATACCAAAATCATCTCTTAAACAGATCAAATAAACTTATTGGCATCTTAAGCAGTTTAGCATATGACGGTTTTTTTTTTAACAGTGACTTCAACTTTCATGTTGATGGTCTTGGAGTGGGACGATCAAAAGTATAGATTTGGGGAGGAGGCTAAAGAATACAACTAATTTCTAAATGGGTGAGTTGCGGAGGAAACGAGAGGTTGCAAACTCAAGTTCCTTCCCCAGGAATATTTTTCCACGGGCTAGATTACATCAGCAGAGATGGCAGAAATGCGAATCTGAGTAACAATGCCTTGGTCACAAAAGAGAGAGAGAGATAGAGAGAGAGAGAGAGAGAGTCTTCATTTAGTTTTTTATTTTAACCAGATCTTCTTTCTATCTTTTCACATGATATTTATAGGCACCTCCATTGAAGAGTCTTAATTTTGTTTTTTATTTGAACCCTTGTTTTTCTTTAAACGTTGCTTGTGTGAATCCTTTGAATGTACCATTGTCTCATATGTCACCTTCAGGACCGTATATTGCTGATGCTGAGTATCCTTGCCACTACTAGTAGTGTCCGTTACACATGTATAGGGTGTCATTTTTAGTACTAGAGAAGTCTTGAATTTTCTTGAGGGAGTGCCATGTATCCTCTAGCAACCACTTTCTAACTTTTAGTGTTTAAATTCCCAATGTTCATTGAGTTGGGAGGAGCATTTTAAGCTACAAATGATGGTTAGTTGGGCCACGAGGCTGCTCATTAACTACTTCAAGCTTAAGCTAATTGTAATGGCCATATGGTTCTATTATATTATTTTGTTTCGTTCCTAACAATTGGAAAAATGTGAAACTAAGCTTTATAATTGAAATTTTTTAGGCTTGGGATTTCGGCCTAGTGTGGGCTCCGAAAATTCAGCCCCGACCTCCACTCGCTTGATTTCTTTTTTTTTTTTTGGCG